GGCCTCCTTCGGTTAATCAGAATGATTGCATTAGCTTTATTACGTTAGATAGGAAAGAGCTGAAGCAATTTTTTGCTAAATAACGTGCACAAAGCTAACTGCACGGCGTCAATTTGATTGCATTATCTATTTAAAGAAGGTAAACTACAATAATTATTCCCATCATTTCATGTCTATAATGTAAATAAATCGGCAAATTTAATCAGCGAAGGAACTTTCAATACGATTTCATATCGATGATTAAAATTATTTTTGTTGCTTATGAAATTTGTTGGTGACAGCTGAAGCACCTCGAGTCAATTCATTAGCAGCATTATTGAAAGCGCAAGAACATCAGCCGTTGTTAATCAGTTAAAAAGTTAGGTGCATAAAAATAGATTCGTCTATATTCTCGAATCCCTAACCATAGGAATGCTTGGCAACGAAACAATGTCTATAAAAAAAAAATTGGCGGAAGCAATAGCAAAAGAGCAGGCAAACAGTCGTTAAAATTGGGCGGCTCTGAAAAGAGCCTTTTGTTATGGTGGTGGTGTGGTCGGGGTACTTTTTTACTTGGCTTGACTAGCCTGACTGGCTCCTCCAGTAGAGGCGGAACCGCTTCCGCCGACCTTGGCAGTCTTCTTGGGCAAGAGGACGGCTTGGATGTTTGGAAGAACGCCACCCTGGGCGATGGTGACTCCGGCCAGGAGTTTGTTTAACTCTTCATCGTTTCTTATGGCCAACTGAAGATGGCGAGGGATGATACGAGTCTTTTTGTTGTCTCTGGCGGCGTTTCCGGCCAACTCCAAAACTTCGGCCGCCAAATACTCCATGACCGCTGCTAAGTATACGGGCGCTCCGGCTCCAACTCTCTCGGCGTAGTTGCCTTTGCGCAACAGCCTGTGTATTCTTCCTACCGGGAACTGCAATCCGGCTCTGCTCGATCTGCTCTTGGCCTTTCCTTTGACCTTGCCGCCCTTTCCTCTTCCAGACATTTTTCAATAATGTTGTTCAAAGCAAATTGGCAAAAGAAAGAATCTCTCTATATTACTGCAAACGATACTTAATTTTCGACAAATACTATGTTTATATATCCCTCGACTGCATGCTAGTAACTCTCGGATAGTTATTTTAATATATCACGTGATGCAATACGCATTTACAACCAATCAATGAGCGGCAGCTTGTAAATGTATACTTGCACATTCATTTACTACATGTCGGTATAATATTGCTGTAGGTTTTTAGGCATTGTGCAATTGTTCTACATACGTGCACACACACACACACACACACACACACACACACACACACGTTTGCCACGTGTATAGACGTTATATTACTTATTGTTTATGCATTAGTTTAAGTTAAATCTTTTTTTGACTTAGTTTTTCATTCAAATATTTATTAATTCGTCAAAATATCGACCGATTTTTATTTAGCATAACTCAAATAAAATTCAAAATTAGGCGCGCGCGGATCTATCACCTTTCTTTGTTCTTTCTCTACCCTCTCGCTCACAAGCACGCTCTCTCACAGGCAAACTATCTCGCTCGTAAATACGTTAGCAAACCACGTGATCTATTCACTCACCTAGCTCGCTCATATATATCGGTCTGCGAGGGTTAAACGCCATCACTGCGAATGCGTACTCGCCTCTCCTTTTTTTTATATTTTACTTATTCGTTCTTGAACAATGCCACCAAAGCCTGCCAGCAAGGGAGCTAAGAAGGCCGCCAGCAAGGCGAAAGCTGCTCGCAGCACGGACAAGAAGCACAAGAGAAGGCGAAAGGAAAGCTACTTTATATACATATACAAAGTGCTGAAGCAGGTTCACCCGGACACGGGCATCAGCGGCAAAGCCATGTCAATAATGAATTCGTTCGTCAATGACATCTTTGAACGAATCGCAGCCGAAGCTTCTCGCCTCGCCCACTACAACAAGAGATCCACAATCACCAGCAGAGAAATCCAGACGGCCGTCAGGCTTCTGTTGCCCGGCGAGTTGGCCAAGCACGCCGTCAGCGAAGGCACCAAGGCCGTCACCAAGTACACCAGCTCAAAGTAATCGACCACTGAAATAAAGACAAGACAAACGGCTCTTTTCAGAGCCACCCATTCTAACGATGATACGCTTGCCAGCTTAGCCAAACTATTTTTTTCATTCTTGAGTATATCTAAGTAAAAAACACGGGATGGCTGTGAGGAGTCCTTGAGACTTATCGAGCCCAGCCACCTTTTCAAAATATGATATATAATTGTCAGTTTCATATATATATATATATACATACATACACACATATATATAAACATAAATACATATACTTACAAGATAAACAAATATATACGGATAAGTACAGTCATATATTAAGACAAATAAGCCGCAAGCTTTTTAGCGTCTATTAGCGCAAAAGTTCAATAACCATAATTGCTGGGTGAACGAGCAATATTAGCGGCGAAAAATAAAGATGTCGAAAATCTCAATAGCGACTATTCAAAATTCTCTTTCAAGACAGTTGGTGTCCTTCAAATCAGCCGACACTGTTATGAACCAGGATGACGTAGCCAACTATCCCACGGAGTTTTAAATTCACTGGAATTGTCTGAAACCTCACAATTTGCAGTTTAAAATAGGATCAGTTGTCATTATGCTCCGTAGCATTAATCAACCTCGACCGTGCAATGGAACAAGACTGGCTATGGAAAGGCTGATGAATAACATCATTGAGGCAACAACCATAAAAAAAATACAAAGGAGAGGATGCCTTGATTCCGAAAATACCGATGATTCTAACGGATTTACCATTTGATTTTAAACGCTTACAATTTCCAGTACGTCTGGCCTTCGCGCTGACCATAAATAAATCGCAAGGACAATCGTTAAAAGTTTGCGGAATTAATTTGGAGTTTCCTGTTTCACGCATGGATAATTATAAGTCGGAAAACCGTCTCATTTGTTTGTTTGTTTACGCACCACAAAACAAAACAAAAAATATAGTTTACGAGAAAGCTTTGAATTGATCAACAAACTGTTTCATAGCAGTGTGTCTGTCAATATCAAATTTGAACATTATAAATAACCAGTATTTCAGGAAATTTCTATTTTGTAATTAAGCAACGTAGAAAACAGTAATTAAACTTTATGCTTCATTCAAAATATGCTTTTTTATTAAATACGAATTCGTTTTGTTTGTTTTAAAATTATTTTATACAAAAGTTTAGGTCTTATTTTATCGATTGAGGCAACTTAGTATATATATATATATATAAATGTCTTTACATACATATATATATGTACATTTTATTATTATTGTTAAATTATTCACTATTGTAGGTGTTGTTGTTAATATTATTACTACTATTATAATATATAATAATAATAAAATATTAATTATTACTATTATTAAAAATCTTCCTAATTTCTTTTAATCCTACCGTCGTTGACTGCTGTTGTTGGGGAGTTACTATCGTTAGGACAACCTGTTTATAGATGAGAAATTTTGTGTCAGCCAGCTAGCCAGCCATCCATGCATTCATCCATTTAGCCAGCCAGCCATCCATTCATTCAGCCATCCATCTATTTAGCCAGCCATTCTGCCAGTTAGTCGCTTCATCAATCAATTTGTTCATTTAATACAATTCTCTTTTCAATATTTTTCAGAAGCATCAACAACAAACACGTGCATTTGAAAGACAGGGATATCTTGGCAATCGGATCCGGTCACTCACTCACTCACTCACTCACTCACTCACTCACTCACTCACTCAATCAATAAATCAAACAAACAAGTAATGAATCAATCAATCAGTTAACCAACTAATCAATCAATCAACAACCGACCGGACTAACCCCATAATAATTTATTTAATGCATTTCCTACTCCATAGAAACCGGAAAATAAAAGAGCACAAATAAGAATAAAGATTGTCTTTTTTGTTGTGTCAAGAACGTTGAATATTGGATAAACCCAAACACCGCTGACAGACGATACAAAAAGTAGCCTGTTTGTGTGTATGAAGCAAGTATATGTATGCGCGCGTGTGTGTGTATGTGTATGTTTGAATATGCGTATATATACTAATCACGTACATTCAAGATAGATGTATCTATTTATTTTACTTATATATAAACGTAGGAATAAATAATAATTACAACAACAATAAACATAATAATAATAATAATAAGCATAATAATAATAAGCATAATTCTCACCATAATAAATATGTAGCCATGAAGAGGAGAGTGGCGGAAATTCCCCGCTTGAATTCAGGGTAACAGGTTTTGATGATATATCGATCCGCCAGTGTTAGAGGGATTGTTATCGAATGCTGTGAGTGTGTTTGTGTGCGTGTGTTCGTGCATGTGTGTTTGTTTGTGCGTGCATGTGTCAATCAATCAATATAATCATTAAACAAGCAATCATTTAATTAACCAACCAACCAACCCACCAACCAACCAATCAACCAACCAGCAAATGATTGAACCAAAATGGCAGAATGGCATCGAGACTCTTTGGATATATCACCTCCCTATCTATGGCGTACAATATCCAAAAAGTGGAACCAACAAACTGACGAGTAAATGAGTGAAGGAATGGATGAATGAGAAGATGAACAAATGAATGAATGAATAAAAAAAAATGACTGATTAATTGAGGAATCAATGGTTAATTGAATTTAATTACCATGAACAAATGAAAAAAATGAATTAATAAATGAATATGTAGATGAATGACTGGACGTATCCATGAATGAATTGATAATTGTATCAATGAATGAATGGATGGATGAACAACCAAATTAATGAATTAATCAGTTCTCAACTGAAGTATCAGTTTTCATTTGATATATATAGAGAGAAAAAAATTTTAATATCAACAACAACAACAACAACAATAATAATAATAACAACCATAGATGTTGGAAAGATGATTGATGCACTGAACAGATGCCATATCTTAGAATCAGTTGAAGATGATGGCGGCGGTGGTGATGATGATTGTGATGGTAATGATGATAATGATGGAGGCCTAGGAGAAGAGGAAAAAGGGTGGGAATGCATGATGAACCATGCTGTCCTTACCAAGGATAGTGCAAAATAAATGAACTGTATTATCTGAGATGATGACATTTATTTACTTTAATTTTATTAATGATAAAAAATAAATTAAGCGAAAGTTTTGAATAATTAATTAACTAATTGATCAATTTAATTATTTTACAAAGATGATAACATTATAAAAATAAATTAACACTACTTAGTTAACTCAATTATTACTCAAACAATTAACAAAAATTACAATCAAAAAATTTGAATCTTTTATTTAAAATTTAAATAAATGAATAAACAATAAATCAATTAATTAAAACAATAAAATTAGACAAAAAAGCTAATTTGAAAAGTGCAAATTTCTATCTAAATCTAACTAAGCATTCTGAGATTAAAGACAGGATGGTAGTACTAAGAAACCTCCTCAGTGAACAAATTAGTGTAAATAAAAATTGTTATAAAAAAAAGAGTAACCAAGTTCCAGAATGTTAAAAATCTAAACCGGCCCCCAAACAATTTGCTATTTCGTTGGGGGCTATTTAGGGGTCCGTAATCTTGGTACAACGTGAACAGATACAACAAGAATGCTGTCAGATGGAATAAAAAAGTGAACGATGCCGAAAATCTTAAAATAAGAACCATTTTGTTTGAATTAGTCACAAAATTCGAAAAAGAATAAAAAGAAACTGATGCTATTCTGATTAAATTAACGTTTAGTTTGAACTTTAAAACATTTTTGTAGCACTGAATATTTTTAAATGCATCTTCTAATTATATGGTTTTCTTCTTGAAAGTTTCATATTATTTATAATATTTTTTATTGTTTTTAACTTTATATTGAGATGTCTAATAAAACATTTTTGTTTCCATGCTGTCAAATAGTGTTTTCAATTAATTGCAAATAATAAATTGAAATATTGATGATCACATTAAGTTTCAGTAAGTGTTCAAATCCTTTGTTTTACCTGGACGTTTGAATTTTCAAATTAGTGTCATGTACAACATTCGGTAATTATTTTTTGTAAATTTTTTTTTAACTGCCGCATTTGTTTAAATTTATAAATTAAAACTTTATTAATTTAATAAATATTTGTTTATATTTTTTATTTAATTTTTTATTAAAACGCAAAATTTTACAAAAAACCTTTGAAATAGAAGTCACGACCTCAATCTAAATTAAATTTGCTAAAATGCTTACCTTTATTACACTGTATTTGAATTTATTCACATAATTTTGGCGTTCAAAACGACTTTCTCGTTTTTATTCTTAAAAATTTTTGTATTTTTTATAATAAAATTTTAAAAATTTGATCCGATTTTAAGTTTACAATGTTTTTCATTTTTTAATCCTGAATAAAAATCTAGATTTCTTTTTTGGCCGGTATATGACAATACACCACTATAGTACTTTATTCTATTCTATACAATACGTACTGTGTGTAATAATTTTCTTACTTTGTTATATTTTAAAATTTATTTTAATATATTCATATTTATTGATCATTAATTGAACGATATTCTAAAATTAAAATAGATGATTAATTTTTTAAATTGATTATGCAAAAAATGATTATTTTTCATTGTTTCCCAGTAAAAAATAATATTTTAAATCTTATAAATAATTTTTATTTAATTTAATTGATTAATTAATTAATTAATTAATTAGAATTTTTTAACACTTAAAGGTGAAATATTAACTTAGTTATTGATTATTAAAGAATAACAATATCACTTGATATTTTAATAATATAACTGTTGCTATTAATAATCATAAAAATTTCACCAGTTTTTTTTTATTTAAAACAGGCTATGAAAAAATGATTAACACCAATCGAATAATGATGATGACGATGATTTTCATAATAATGATCCTCTTCTCCTCTGCTCTTCTCGCTCGCAATCTACAATTTGACAAGTCTTACAGGAATAATAATGGTGAAGAAATGTTACCATCTTCATCGTTATCATCGAATCTGTCTTCAAAATATTCATCATCATCTTCATCATCATTGTTATTATCACCGCTTCAAAACAACCACGAAATTATCAACCAACATCTGAAAAAAAGATTCATCAGATCTTACAGAAACAACTACATAAGCAACAACAACAACAACAATGATGACGATAAGGATGTCATCTACAACAACAACCACCCAAGACTACAAGCAGCAACCATCACAACTACTACTACTACTACTACAATCATCATCATCATCATCTCCATCTTCTTCATCACATCAACAATTATTTACAGCCTGGGATGTCTCAGCTGTCCTCTCTTCAATTGGCTCCATCATAAAAAGGTTGCACAATAATAAAATAATAATAATAATAATAATAAAATTATTATTTTTGTTATAATTGTTGTTGTCGTTGCCATGCATTGTCTTGCACAATTCAGAGGTCTGAACAACACACGCACGCGCACGCGCACACAAAAAACACACACAAACACACGTACAGGGCATGTGAATGTATGTGAATCCACCCATCACTCACACACGCATGCATTTGACCGGCAGGGATCTGTTTGTTTTCGAACCCAGCAGGACCAGGCGTCTTAACCATTGCACTATCCCTACAGCTGCTGCTACTACTAATACTACTACATTAAATGATAATAACAACAACAACAATAATAATAATAATAATAATAATGACCATAGTGATAATGATGATAGTACTAACAAATAATAATACAAACTCATCCAGACTTCATCGCCGTCAACTTACATTGGACAAATAGACCTGAACGACATCAGAGCGCAGTATGGTAGGAACGTCGACAGCACCCTCATAATTAGAAACGACAACAGCAGCAGTATACCGAACCAGCACATCCCTAAAAGTGGCCGCCGTCACGATGACGTCATCCCTAACGACGTCACTGGTACTAATAATGCCTACAGTAACAGGGGGTTTTCAATCGGTGAGTTGGAGACGATGAAGATCCGGGGGGAGACTGGCGGACTGTACTACAGCGCTGAAAAGAGAAAATATAATGAAAATAATAATAATAATAGTAATAATAATAACAGTAGTAACAATAATAGTAATAGCAATAATAACAATAATAAAAGTAATAAAAGGATTGATAAAAAAAATAATCAGCGTAGTGTGGATGACGTCGTCATATTCAACAAATACGCCGAAGAAGTTACTTTAAATAGGAATGATAGTAATAATAATAAAAATAATAAGAACAATAATAACTTCAGAGACCAAACCAATAATGGTATGGACATATCTAGCTATATGATACACAATGCTTATGCTACTGCTAGTTATAGTAATAATAATAATAATAATAAAAACAACAACAACAATAATAATAATAATAATGAGAATGAGGTTAAAATGCACAGAAGAAGTCGTTCAGCTGGTGTCAGCAAGACGACAAAGGTAAAAAACAATAATAACAACAATAATAATGATGATGATGATGATGATAATCCGACTATTTACCACAATAAGTATAACACTTATAGCGGCAAAAAAGATAACTTCCACAAGAATAACAACAACAACAACAACAACAATAATAATAATAATAACAATAATAATAATAATAACAATAATAATAATAATAAACTCAAATCATCATTATCATTTACTAATATGAACCCAAGTAACAAAGAGAACGAAAAACCAACAACAACAACAACCTCTACGTTAATAACCGGAATTCACGTGAATAACAATAAAAATAACAACAATAGTAATATTAATTACAAGAATAATAATAATAATAACAATTTTGATGACGACAATGATTTGTGGAGATTTTATTCTAGAAGCAATTATCTGAATGAGGCTTCGTTGAGGAATAATAATAATAATAATAATAATAATAACAACAACAGCAACAACAACAATAATAATAACATTATAAATAAAAATAATAATTTCATTATTAACAGTAATGATGATAATGATAAATTTATATTTTCAACTCAAAATAATTACAAAAGTCATCACTTCATCATTCACGATAACACCGATAATAACAGTTACAACAGCAACAGCAACAACAACTACAATAATAATAATAATAATAATAGCAGCAGCAATAATAACAATAGCAAGAAAAAATCAATAAAAGGTTTATTAATGAATAAACTTCACCACGGCCATCATCGCCATCGTCATCATCGCCGTTCGTCAAGGAATGATGATGATGATGACGATGGTGAGGGTGGCGGGGAAAACTCGATGAAGATATGCTACGCTCATCCTTATCCGGGCGATGTTGTTGATAATGATAATTATAGAAATAATAATATTTACAATAATAATAATTATTATTTTAGAAATAATAATAAAAATAATAATAATAATGTCGTTGGTGTTAGCGATGACGACAGATATGATATGAATGATGTGATGTTCAAAAATATGAATGCTAAATGGTGAAGGATGGCGGTGGTGGTGATGATTAATAATAATGATGAAAAATAACTCTAACGAGATGATGATGGTTGGTGGGAAGATGATTTCGGTAAGAAAAAGTATGATGTCATCATGATTGTGAAGATTTACATGATAAACATTAAGAGGAGAGGATGATGATGATGATGATAATGATGTGTCACTTTAATATACACATATATGTATGTGTGTGTGTGTGTGTGTGTGTTTGTTTATATGAAAATATTAATGATATTAATCCACATGATCATTAAATACGCATAAAGGAAAGGTGATATTAATGATAATAATAATAATAATTATTAATTAAATATAAAACCGATGCCAGCTATCTTGGATTTGGAGCCCTTAATTAGCTTTATAAGTTTATATATTATAACTCGGCCCAAAATATGATTTCTAGAAACTTATAGTGTGAAATTTAAATTTATATATAACAAAAAATGATAGTTTTTATTAATGAGTGAAAGTGTTTTAAAGATCAAGAGTATTTTTTTAATCTTCAAAATAATTAGACATTTTTCTGGAACCTATAAAAATTAAAAATTGAAACATACAGTTTTCTACCTCCAGACTAATTTGGGGTTTTGCTGCAACTGGATCGTTTTGTGAAGTTCATCAAACTAGAGAGTCCACAAATAAAACATAACCATTCGAAACGTTCATCGCTCCTATCCGACCAGTCCTCAATTATACACACCATCAAATAACTTTTATGCTTGGACTTCCATTCATATTTTAATAATGAAAAATTTGAATGAAAATTATGGTAGAGCCTATTGAAAGGGTCTACCATTGGATAATTTTTCGGGCTCCCAGATGAGCGGGGCCGGCCCTAAGTCACCGAACCGATTGTTCAGCTTATACGTAAATCTAGCACAGCCGATGATTTCATAAATGGTATTGTCAAGTATATTATGATAATGACGATGATGACACAAATTATTATTTTCATCCATTTTAAGTATCGTTGTATTGATGAAATCAAACATTTGTATGTATATATATATATATATATATATATACATATATATATATTGTATATATATATATATATATAAATGTATTTTATATTATAAATTATGTGTGCTACAACTGTTTTATGCCAAAAAATTGTTGCATTTCATCAATAAATTTCTTGTCACCAGGTGCGGATCAAACAAAGTTGGTGGTATGGGGCAAAAAATTAACCAACGTTTTCGGCTTGTCACGCCAAGTTTCGGTCCATTTTCAACTTATGACGGCGTTTCCATGTGTCAAAAATGAGTTTAACAAACTTTTAATAATGATGCTGCTCCCACTCGTAGATCCGCCACTGCTTGTTGTTATTAATGTTTGATGAATGAGTGGGTGAATGAGTGAGCGGATCGATAATTTTGCAGGCAAATGAGTGAACAAACAACATTCTTGATTACTGTTCAATGATTTGATTTGTTTTTTTAATGTTTCATAACATATTTTCATTGTTTATTATTTCCATTATTTATGTATGCTTCTCCACAAGAATACCAACACTTATTATCAATTTATATTTAATAAATTTTTTGAATGATGACTTATGTATGTTTTTGCTCTCTTTCTCCCTCTCCATCTCTATCTCTCTCTCTCTCTACACAAACACACACACACACACTTATATTTGTTTAAATGTATTAATGATATTATTATTATGTATGTAAATGTATTAATGATAATAATATTTCAATATTGCCAAATAAATCAATATATGTATGTATATATGTATATATATATATATAGATATGTACAATATATATATATATATATATATATATATATATATATATATATGTACATATCTATATAATTGTGTGTGTATTTATTTGAACGTGTATGTGCAAGTTTTTGTGTGTATTCACTTGTATGTTTGTATATTTCTATGTGTGTGTTTAAATTCAAATATATATTCATTTCAATTCAGAAATTTTTTTGTAAAATAATGTTTGCGTGTGTGTGTGTGTGTGTATTTGAAAGTATGCTGCTAAATCTGTCTCGATGAGTGTGTGTTTGTTAAGTGTGTGTGCGTGTGTGGATTGCTACGTCTGTGTGTGAATTTAATTGTATGAATGTGTGCATGATTGTCCTTTTTTGGTTTTTAGATAAATTTTACTTGTGATTTATGGAGTGTCGATATATATATATATATATATATATATATATATATATATATATATATATATATTTTTGTAAAATAAAATAACGATATAAAACAAATCAGTAATCAGTTCAATTAGTTCGTAAATTATGTTTGTTTGAAACATTTTGCAATTATTACTTTTGTTTATATACCCTCTCTCTTCCTTTTTCTCTCTCTCTCTCCCTCTCTCTCTTTCTATATATATATATATAAAAGTGTATTTGTATATTAGTGTAGACTTTTTAATTTAAGTAATAATAATATATCGTACCTGTATTGTTTTGTTGTTTTCACTACCTTACATCATTACATTATTACAATTATATTAAATTACTTAAGTACTTAACTGGCTTACACACACACACACACACACACACACACACACACACACACACACACACACACACACACACACACAAGTTGTCTGTCGTCGTTTCCGTGTGTGGGAGCCTCGTTGAGAAGATCTTTCAGTTGGGCTTTGTTTGCAGGGTTCTGTACTAGGCCTGCTGTTATATAAATATATATAATAATTATATGATTGATGAAATGATATATATAATTGATAAAAGTCACAGCATGCTCCGCGTTAGTTAGTTTTCTGTTTAATTGAACGTCATCACTCGTGATGAAAAACAACTGCACCAGTAAGCCAGAATCGATAATATTTGTTCTAATATATTTGTTCAAATGTAATATTGGTGAGTGTGGGCACCATAATTCTGAATATATTGCTATGACGACGACCAAGTTATCGAGAAGACTCACAATGCACGTACAAACAGGCGCTATAAAGAGTCACACGTGAGAGAAACACAAAATTAAAATTACTATGGAAATCTTGGACAACAATAAACTGCCTTTCTTTGACGTACTTTTACAAAATACTCATAATGAATTTAAAACCTCAGTATACACCAAAGCAACAAACAATGGAAATTGTGCATGCTGCCAAAGCTTATCTAGAGAGAACAATTTTTACTTTTGTAAACCGAGCCTATACGCACTCTTCTGATGTAGGAAGCAGGAGAACAGAACTAAATAGAGTCACTATACTACTCACTAACAATGGATATAAGAATTCTATGATCCAGAAAATAATAGAATGCAAAGAACAAAAATTCAAAACAACAGCAACAATGCCACTAACAATAACAACAAAAATAACATGGTAATATATATATATAAAGAAAAAAATGAACAGAATATATATATATATGTTAAAACTTTTATAAAATTTCTATATTTTAATTATTTTACTAAACATTTTATTTAAATTACATTATTTTATTTATATAATCTACATAAACTTTAGTTATTATGATATTTACAACAAGGTTAATTTATTTCACAATTTAATACATATTTTATTTTCTATATTTTCACATTTTACATTAGACATTTATTTTAATTAAATTATATGTTTAAACAATATTTAGGCTCTGAAGATGGCATTACGCCGAAACAGCGCTGTTAGCTTTATTCCAGTTTTAGATAAATATGAACTCAAACAATACCGCCTCGTTGAATGTCTTATAAAGAAGTTAATTAATGCAAAATGGGCAAACAATTTCAATGAAATTTGCATATATATATATATATATATATATATATATATATATATATATATATATATATATATATTTATACATACACATAGCAATAGTATATAACATTATATAACATATATAATATATGGTGACAAGAACCGTATCCATCTAAGAATTGCTGAAGCGATCTTCATTGACCAAAGACAACCGCAAATTAACAAAAAGCAAAGAATTGCAACTTCATTACCGACCAGAAGAATAATATTGAAAGACTTTACAGGCGAAGAAAATGAACTGAACAATGATACGATCAACGGACAGAACAAAGCAGAATAAAAGCACATTTGAACAAATATATTAGGACAAATATTATCGATTCTGGCTTACTGGTGCAGCTGTTTTTCAACACAGAGAATTGTAAAAATTTAAATATCCTATATAAGCGCTGATGAGTAAAATCGAAATAGGACCTATACGCTTCATCATGAACACCAATGATTTTCTTATTAATTTAAATAAATTGTGTATGATGCGTGGTTTGCACGCGTATTCATGTACGTTGTGTGTGTTTGTCGTTGAAACCTCTGAAGCAAACGGAAAAGAGAGAGAAACCTTTAACCTTTACTAAAGAAACTTGAAAATTCTTTCGGAGTTTCAGGAGTTGCACTTAAATGGTTAGAATCATATCTTTTAGGACGTAAACAACAAGTTTCATTTAACAATAAAGCATCAAATACCTACGAACTCAACCAAGGTGTACCTCAGGGTTCTGTTTTGGGATCACTTCTGTTTCTACCTTACACATCAGACGTGTCCGATTTGTTAGTAATACAATTTGAAGTATCACACATTTGCGGATGATATTCAGATTGTGTCTAAAATTGAATCACGTAAAAACTCAGGAACGTGGCAGCAAATTGCTAGATTGCAGATTGACTCTGTCAGAATTAGCAACTCTGATATCTCATTTTGCCAGTCCGCCCGAAATTTAGGGGTTATTTTGGATAAAACATGTCAATGAATGACCATATTAAAGTATTGATGAGTGAATTTCACAATCAGCTTCTAATGTTGAGAACAATAAGACGCTCATTAAATAAAACAACTTTAAAAAGTCTAGCTAATGCACTCATTCAGGATTAGACTATTGAAATAGTCTTTTTTATGGTGTATCCAAAAAATTAATTTCTAATTTGCGGTCAATCCAGAAGAGGACTGCTAAGTTTGTTGTTGGAGGCTTAAAATTCGAGCATATTACGCCAATACTAAGTGAGATTTCTTCAGATGATTGAAAAAGCGAGAGTTAGACTGGTGCCGACCGACGCTAGCACACATCATAACATATTTTATTATTATTAACTGAGTAACAAAAATAATTATTTTTGTTTAATTTCATTCTTTTATTTAACTAAAAAATAGAATAAAAAGAAACGACAATTTATTAAGATAAAAGATTCATTTATTTAAGCAAAAAAATTAATGCATAAAAATTGTTATACTAATTATTATTATTATTGTTGTTGTCCTAGTTTAATATTGTTAATTATAATTATTAAAATTGTATTTGAAAAAAAATATAATATATTAAAATCGGATTTTTGGATTGTTAAAAATGAAACAAAATTTAAAAAATGTGTAACTGATCGATTGAAAAAACAAACGAATGAAAGAAATGAATGATAGAACGAATGAATGAATGAGAGAATGAGTGAATGAACGAAGAAACAGAAAACTTGAAATTACGACAAAAAATTAATTAAACGAAAATGTGCATGTTATGTACAAATGTTAGGATTCTAAAACAAATCCCAGAAATATACATTGAATGCATGCATGCCTGTACGTATGTGTATATATTTATGTACGTAGGTGTACCTATACTTATGTATGTGTGTGCGTATGTACGTATGTACAGAGGCGGATCTAGAGCGAGCCGGGGGAGAACTGGCCTCCCACGTTGTGAGCACTTTTTAATAAAAGTCAGAAAATGGACCGTTTTATGTATGAAATCGATAAAAAAAAAGATCGTCAGCCACACTACCACAAATCTTGGCACTCCCGTGAAAATTTTGCTACCCTACGTCAAAGATGTCTAGATCCGCCACTGTCTATGTATGTATGTATGTATGTATGTATGTATGTATGTATGTATGTATGTATGTATGTATGTATGTATGTATGTATGTATGTATGTATGTATGTATGTATGTATGTATGTATGTATGTATGTATGTATGTATGTATGTATGTATGTATGTATGTATGTATGTATGTATGTATGTATGTATGTATGTATGTATGTATGTATGTATGTATGTATGTATGTATGTATGTATGTATGTATGTATGTATGTATGTATGTATGTATGTATGTATGTATGTATGTATGTATGTATGTATGTATGTATGTATGTATGTATGTATGTATGTATGTATGTATGTATGAACCCGTTTTGATGAACAAGCCATGGCTAGGCATGCAATCGTTTCCGAGTTCAACTTTTATCTATGTCCCTGGTCTCGCACAGTCAGGTATCTAGCAGCTCCATCCAGAATGCAAAAGGAATTAAATTATGTATGTATGTATGTATGTTGTATGCGTGTATGTATGTATGTATGTATGCGTGCATGTATGGATGTATGTATGTATGTATGTATGTATGCGTGCATGTATAGATGTATGTATGTATGTATGTGTGCATGTATGTATCTCGAAATGAACAAAAAACCAAAAAGTGAATGTATGTATGAATAAATAAATAATACTCATCAATGATAAACAATTTTAACAAACAAATAAATTAAATAACCATCTAAATAAATTTCTGTAAAAGAAAGAAAGGGTAGAGAGAAGAAGAGAGAGAGAGGATAGAGAGAAGAGAGAGAAGATAGATAGAAGGAAATAGAAAGAGCGAGTTTTAAAATAAATACAATGAACAGAAAAACTGACACATTCCTCCTAATAATAATGAGAACGCCGGGCTGAAAATAACAAAATAAATGGCTGATTGGTAACAAGATAAAGGAGAGGAGAGAGTACGAAAGAAGAAGAAGACAGTAGAAGAGAAGTATGATAGGGAAAGAGAGAGAGAGAGAAAATGTAATCTATCTACCCAAGTGAAACATGATGCGTGACCCCCTCTTTTGAAGAACGCGCTAAACAACCCAATTATTTGTAAAAATGAGTTAATGTCAAAATTGCACAAATTATAATATCTATCTACCATTATAGGATATTAACTTTTAAAGAGAAACACGACATGTCCTTTTGACCATCAAGCCAAAAAGTTTTGCATACTTGGCAGAAACGAGTCCAAAAGGATTGAAAAACCGATGAACGTTTCGAACCATAGCAAGAAAGGGCTGAATCACAATGGCGCATATTTTCAATTGGCCAAATGGCTTCACCTTAAAAACAAAATTTTTAGTTTGGTGGCAGGTTCTTCAAATGAAGAGGTCGCGTGTAACAATGCAACAAAGGAACCAACTTCAGATCAACAACGAGAATAATAATACGCCAAACAAATCAATAATTTCATTTAATTTCAAGTACGTTAATTCTTAATAAACCAATGTTCGTGGCGGTATTATCAATTACTAAATAATAAATAACCCTTTACACACACTTATAAACAGATATATGTACACACACACACACACACGCACGCACACACACACAGACACACACACACACACTTATATACAGATATATGTACACACACACACCACACACACACACACACACATATATCTATATACATACATATATGTATAAATATGTATGTATATATATATATATATGCATACATACGTATATGGAGTACATCGTCGAATCAACGAATTTGGTCGGCGGTGAGTCCTAGAATGAGCAGAGTCCTATCTTGACGAACATTTCCGTGCACATGTTCCACAGATCCATACACTTGTACTATCGCCGTTTAGGGCCGTCTGTTTTCGTCAAATCAGCGAAGACAGCAGTACGTGCCAGTTCGAAGGCGGAAACTGCCGACTGGGTAAACTTCCTCCACTCCGAGCGCCACAGAGCATCAACACAAAGAATATTAGAGTCTAAACCACATTTTTTCATTTTTCTTTCAAGCTGTCTTTATATCTACGTACAGGGCCACCAGCCAGTCGATTTCCCGGCGCCAGTTGACCAAAAAAGAACTGCTTGAGAGTTTTTGTGTCTGGCAAACGTATAACATGCCCTATCCAACGAAACTGAGTTTGAAGCAAAAGCGATTCTATACCCATTGTATCGCACTTTGCCAGAATCATTGTGTTCGGGACTTTGTCTTCCCACCTGATACCAGCAATCATACGCAGGCACCTCATATGAAACTGGTCGGGCCTACAAATGTGGCGACGGTAGAACGTCCAGGTTTCGCAGCCATACAGCAGTGAAGGGAGCCCAACTGCTCCGTGTACCGCAATCTTGGAGGCAAGGGTAACTCTTTCTCCTGTCTATAATATCGTCATCGATAGTACCACTGTACTTGTACATCCATATACATATATATATAAATATGTATATATATATAAACATATATATGTATATATAAACATATATATATATATATATATATATATATATATATATATATATATATACATATAATATGTTCATAGCGGGAGAATCAGAATAAGATAATGAAAATAAAAATGAATACCATAAAATAATTTGAACGTTGTAATTGACAACATGAGAGAGAGAGAAACAATAGCAATTATTATTAGTAGTATCATATTGATACCAAAACTATTACTTTTTAGAATTATAATTTTGTTAGTATCATTATTATTACTATCATAATTGTAATTATTATTATTATTATATTTATAATTATTATTTAATATGAAAAAGTCAGCAACAAAAAACTAAATGAAATAAATAGCATTTTTTTCATAGTATGAATGGATAAATGAATGAATGAATGAATGAATGAATGAATGAATATATGAATGGATGAATGGATGAATTAATGAATTAATTAATAATTTATAATACTGCCGATGTTTTGTGTGATTGAATCATTCATTATAGTAATATCATAGGTACTGATAATGATGCTGGTTGAGGTGATGGCGATGATGATGATGATGACAAAAAATTGTAACGATATACATAAGTGAGTATCAAAAGAACATTCTACATTATAATATTATAATTGGGGCTATAAAAACCAACAAGTTTTTAATGTTGCTATTATTACGAAGATCATTATTATTATGATGACTGTAATGTGTGTTTTTGTGTGTGTGTGTGTGTGTATGTGTGTTGATGTGTGTGTGTTGGTGTGTATGCACAAACACATAATAAGTTGTAACAATATAAATTTAATTATTTGAAATAAATTAGTCAGAACGATTCATTTAAATAATACTAATAAAAAAAAAAAATATGGCGATTGAAAATTAATTAAATAATTATTAATCATTAAAATTATTTTCACAAAAATAATTATTTATAAATAACGATAATAATAACAACAGTAATTTAAAGTGTATTCATACATTTACTGTACAAATCCCAAAACCCTGTTTATTGTGAATTATGTAAACTATAATAATAATAATTATTATTATTATGTTTATAATAATAATAGTAATAATAATTACTATTATTATTATTATTAAAAATAACTGCCAATCTTATTTTATTATTATTCTTATTTTGAATAAATGAAATTATTAAAAAATTCAATATACATATAGAAAGAAACATAGAGAGAAAGAGAGAGAGAGAGAGAGAGAGAGAGAGAGAGAGAGAGAGATATTAAAATAAGAATAAAATAAAAATAGTACTAACAGTAACAATAATTGTTTGCATGCAATAAATATCAACAACAACAACAACAACAACAACAAAGAACAGCAATGAACTAAAACAAAGAATAAATATAGAATAAATATTCATTTATAATTATCATAAACGGCGGTATCAACAACAACAATATAATAATAATATTATTATTATTATTGTTGTTGTTGTTGTTATCATTATAAATAATGTAACAATGATAATAAAATAACATAAACAGGTGAAGTTACGCTACTTATATAGTTTATAGTATATATATATATATATATATATATATATATATATGGTTTTATATAAATATATAAATATGTATATATAATGGACGCGTGTGTGTATAAAATATACATTAGAAATTATAATATTAATATAGGATGATGATGATAGAAACAACAAAATAGCCGTTGGTGAAGATGATGATGTTGGTGAGGATGATGATGGTGGTGGTGATGATCATCAATTATCTCGATGATGATGATGATGATCTAAATAATACCAGTGATAATATTAACTATAACAACATCAAAAATAATACTAAATATCAAGCGATAATAATGATAATAAAAAAAATAATAACAATAATTAATAATAATATTATAACAATAAATAATCTTAACAATAATAATAATAATAATTAACGGTAGTAATGTAAACAAAAAATGAATAATAATAACAAATACAAAATGATAATAAAAACGACGGTCATGAAATAAAATGAAAAAACTTATGTTGATAATAACAACTATAATAACAATAATAATAATAACAACAATAATAATTATAATAATAATAATTATTATTATTATTATACGAATGTAAACAAACTTAATTATTATTAATAATAAAATAAAATAATAAAACAAATTAACAATTAAATAAATAAGCACGTATAATATGATGATTATGTTTTTCTCTTAATAGCACTAGCGTTATTTACACACACACACACACACACACACACACACACACACACACACACACACACACACACACACACACACACACACACAAACATATAGTGCCACTTTAATATATGATATATTAACAAGCTGTTTTATTAACAACTATGACTACGTCATCATCATCATTACCATCACCGGGATGACGACTACTACCATAACCACTTTTGTTATTATTGGTATTTTTTTTATTATTATTAGTAGTAGAAGTAGTTGTGTTGTTGTTGTTGTTGTTTTTGTTAAGATCATCATCAGTAATATTATCACCATCATCATCATTAATATCATCATCATCATCATCGCCATCTATTAATAAAAAGCTATCGAATCTTTTATCCAATTGCAATCGTAATAAATTATTATTATTATCATTATTATTGTTGTTGTTGTTATTATTGTTGTTGTTATTATTGTTGTTATTATTGTTGTTGTTATTATTGTTGTTATTATTGTTGTTGTTATTATTTTTCTCATCGACATCATCGCCGTCATCTTTGTAGCAATCGTTATCATTACCGACGACGACATCATCCCCGCCATCGTCACCCTCCTTATTATTATCACAATCATCACCATCATCAACTTTACCGCGAGGAAGATTATTGTTATTATAATTATTATTATTATTGTTGTTGTTGTCCTCATTATCATGATGGTCATCATCATCATCGGCGTGCATATTTTTAAAGAATGATGATGGCAGTGATGATGACGATGGCCTCTGTTCCTTCAGGGGCAGGCTGACGACGGGGGGGACGTTCGGCAAGTGCTCCGACTGATTTCGACAGTGGTGGTGAAGATGATTGTTGAGACGGTGGTGGTGGTGGTGGTGGTGGAGTTGAGTGTCGTCAATAACGACGAGGCTGATGCGTTTGTCTGAGTCGTTTTCCTTGTGATGATGATGATGATGATTGTGATGATGATGATGATTGTGATGATGATGATGATTGTGATGATGATGATGATTGTGATGATGATTGTGATGATGATGATGATTGTGGTGATGATAACGATTGTGATAACGAATGTGATGATGGTAATGATTGGTCGTGATGTTGGGTTGCACTCAACACACACTCTCCTACTCATCGGATGGGAGGTCAACATGACGTCATCATCACCAGATCGGAGTATGAAATATTCAATGTTCAATCGACCCGCCCATCGTTTCAGATCATGGGCTCATTTCATGCCCGATGGCTGCCACCTCAGCTCCTCCTTCTAACTCGACTTGCAGACGCGTTCGGAACTACAAAAAGATAGATCGTGTAAAATTCATAAACTCACTTATCGAGTGTTCTCTGTGACAGTGAAGCCTACTCGTAATTCAATGTAAACAAGCTGTCTGATGTATATGAGGAAACGCTCAGGCGTATTGTTGATGAGCATGATTGTCGACAAACAAGTTCGTTCAAAATCATGTGACTGGTTTGACTTTGATTGCTACGAAATAAAACGATCCACTCGTAAGTTAGGAAGGGTTTATCGACGCACAAAAAACAAATGAGACCTTTTTCGTTGGAAAACAATTGTAATAGCAGAAAAACACAAACCGTTTGTGTTCAAGCAATCAATATATTACCAATCGCTGATAATTTTGGTGAACAGAAAAATGTATGTACGACTGCTCCATCAATCACAGCTCAAGAGTTTTAACACATCTAAACTGTCAGCTGAGGAGATTGTCAAACCGCCAGAGTTCACGTCGACCAGATAATACCGCAAAAAAATATTCAACTATTAAACTGGATGCAAAAAGTACAAATACCCTGCAACATCAATCCTCCCCCTACCAAGAAATATCTACAATAATCCACAGGTACAAATCAAAATCTTCTCCTTGCCCTCTGAACCAAATCTCAGTAATCCCATTCAAAAAAATGTCCATTATTACGCATCATTCTCCACAAATAATTTACGCAATGGTTATTTTTCAAAAGCCCAGCAGGCTGGAGAAAATGATTCATATTGCTTATTTATAAAAAAAAATGCGATGCAAACAATCCGTCCAACTTCAGACCCATAACTCCACAACCTACGCTTTATAGAATGATTTCGCCATGCACCAACCATAGGATTTATAATTTTTTTAAAAACAAAAAACTTAATCAACAAAAACATCCAGAAAAATTTTTTCCCAAAGCTAGATGGCCTGACCGAACATACTCAGTTCTTGTCGCATATGTTTAACGACGCCATGAGGCATCAACAAACAATAATCGTCACACTTCTCGATCTAAGCAACGCTTTTTGTGAAGTTAGCCAAGACCTGATCTTAACTATCTTAGACCATCACCCCACTCCTGATCAGCAAGTTAATAAAATTCATATATGCCGACTACACAATTTCAGTTTCAGGATGCAAACAACTGGCTCTTTCCATTTCAGTCAGACGAGGCGTTTTCTAGGGCGATCACGTTTCGCCATTGCTCTTCAACCGGTGTTTTAAGTCTTAATGAAGATACTTGAAAATCCGAGTATCAACCATGTGGCTATGTATTACCGCCAACAGCACCGAAAGCGCTCAGCAATTAGTCGACATAAACCAGGCTGCGGCTCGACAAATGCACAACTTTCGGCATGAGAAAAAATAGGTGTCAACGAACAGTTCCTACCGAAGTTGATCATCGGCGACAAATCAATTCTCCAAATCGAACTTGGCGGATATTTCGTATATTTGGGCAAATCTAAGATTTTGAAGGTACCAACACTGATGCCAAAAAGTTGCTGACCATTAAACCAAAAAATATGTTATCAGTAATTAGTGAACTAGACACGTCGGCACAGTGGAAACTTCAAACCTTGAAAAAATACATTCCATCACAGCTCGCATTTGGGCTTCAAACTAACGACATCTCGTTAACCTGGATTTATAATTATCTCAATCTTTTGGTGATAGAAGTGGTTAAAACATGGCAGTTGTGTGTCAGAAAGTTTGTCGCTCCCTTTCAAATTGGTTGGATTGAACGTAAGGTCTCTCTAATATTACGCAGAATCATGGATCAAACGTCGTAACTATTAAAAATCCAACGACAACGAAACTTCGTAGATTAATTTATTCATCATTTTATTCAATTACATGTTCTTATTTTTATTTCCATTTTCTTTATCTCTTTTCTCTCTCGGCATATTTCTTTTACATTGTCGTTGTTTTTATTTTATTTTGGGCTGAATAATAAAAGTGCACCAATTATTACAATGAGGATGACGTCACAACGATGACGATGATGATGACAATGATGGTGATAATTGTAGAATTAAATTTAAGCATACTTTAAAAAATTTATATTCAAGTTTACCTTTAATGATTCATATTTGAGTTTAGTTTTAATGATTCAAAGTAAGTTTACTTTTAACGATTTTTCATTCTTGATTCTCATCACTATCCAGTCGGTAAGGTAAAACATTGCGGCGAAGAATTTATACATGAAGCACATGCCTGTGTTTGTAAGATGGATTGAATGGTTGGTTGATTGATTAATTGATTAATCAATAAACAATTTAACCAACTAACAATCAGTCCGCCAAACACAAACCAACCAACCATTCAACCAATAAACCCAAAATCAAGTACGCAATCAGTCAGTCAATAAATCAAACAACCAGCAAATCAAATCAATCAGCGAAAAAACCATCCAACCAACCAACCAACCAACCAACCAACCATCCATCCAACCAACCATCCAACCAACCAACCATCCAACCAACCAACCATCCAACCAACCAACCAACAAACCAACCAACCAACAAATCGATATCTCAGGTGCACGAGGTCGTACACCAAGCAGTTGCCCTCCACCTCACAAACACGCGCCCAGTGAACGCACGTCTGATCGATTTGAGAGCCGTATATAAGAGGGGCTGGTATATATGCTGTGCGTGTGTGTGTTTGTTTGTGTTTGTTTGTGTGTGTGTGTGAGAGTGTGAGTGAGAGAGTTTGTTTAAGTGTGTGTGTGCATATGTGTGTGTATTTGTGAGTTTGTGTGGTGAGGAATTAATCATTAAGTGATATTTGTTCGTTGATTCCCTGTTTGGGAATGTTGCATACACAAATATCTATACATGCACACATACACACGCACACATGCACGCACAAATATATACAAATACACTCACACACAGACAGACATACACACACAAAAATCAGGAAGGAAGGTTATTAAAATTTAGAATGAACTTATTACGAAAATGAATTACTGATGAAAAATTATTGTCGATGATTATTATTTATAAGTGATAACAACAATTTATGAAATAATATTATTACTGCGCACTTTTAATAATTGCCACTATTACTACTGCCGCTACTACTATCAATCATCAATCTTCGTTTTGCGTCCAAAGACCCGGTTTCCCGAGGTAGGACGTGGTTTTCTTTGCCATCAACTTTTTGCGCCAAATTAACGATCAGTTGTATCCATTTCATTTAAATTTAGAGCTTTCATGTCTTGCTCAATTGTTTGCAACCAGGACTTCTTTGGACGGCTTTTGGGACGTGTGCCAGGTACTTCAACATCTGCAAGAGAAGTTATGGCACTGTTTCCACTTCGTTTGACATGACCAAACCACCGCAGACGGTGTTGCCGGCATTCGTCCTTTATATCATCTAAACCAGCACGACGCAGGATTTCGGTAGATTTGATGTGGTCCTTCAGACTAATTCGTTGCATCCATCGAAGCATTTTAATGTCTACTGCTGCTACTAATATTACTACTACTACTACTACTACTACTGATAATAAAAATAAAACTTTACTAATAATACCAATACGCAACTAACCAAGTAGTCTCAACATAACGTATTGCACACCCAATGCTAAGGCCTTTTCTTGTTCACAGACGGATCTAATAATAATAATAATAATAATAATAATAATAATAACAAAAAATCGTTATCATCATAATAAGTACAACGTTAATAATAATAAATAATCATTTTTTGTCTGACCATACAAGCCTATAATAGACTTCTGGTCTGAATTTTGGAAACAAATAAATAAATAAATAAAAATAAATTAATAAAATAAATAATAAAATCATCATCATGACCAGCACTATCATCATCGTCATCATCATCATCATCCTAATCATCACCACCATCATTACCAACATCATCATCATAACCATCACCATCCCTCCACTCACCTAATAGTAACCATGACGAGCGGCATTTGCGTCCCAGTGACGACGAAGGTCATAAAAAACAACATAACCATAAACGGAACGAGAGTTTCGCATTTTCCTACACATTCGCCCATCCCAGCTTCCGCTAGTGACGTCAGATGTACACTTCCGGTTGTCGGTGATTGGGGTGACGATGATAATGATGACGGTAAGATTACGCACGAGCAATCTGAATAGTTCTGATGATGAGTGTAATCTAATTGACGATGACGTACTTAAAACGAAGGTGACGATGATGATGGTGATGATGATGGTGACGATGGCGAAAGAAATGATGAAGACGATGATGATGACGATGATGATGAATGTGATGTTGTGATGATTGTGATAACAATGAAAAAACATCCACGCACCAAGCAAAAAAATAGCAAAAAAGAAAAAACAAATAAAAAAGCATAAAAAAATTTCACAAAAAAATCAGAATGCCGAGAAACAACACGGTGACACAACACCACCACGCAACACAACACCGCCACACACCATTACACACCACATCATAAAAAAAACGTCAACAGCACCAACAAACAAACCAAGAACACCAAACAGCTCCACCCTAACAACTACAACCACTATAACAAACCCCCCCCCCCATAACCACAACAACCACCACAACAACAACCATAACCACCACAACAACAGCCACAACCACCACAACAACAACCACAACCACCACTACAACAACAACTACCACCACCTGCTCTTTCCCGCCATTCCCAACAGCAGCGGTAACACAGCCGGCATAGCAGGGACTGAAATAGATGACTCCATTATCGCCGCACACAAACTCCATAGAATTATCATCGCAATTACAATTTTTATTACACATGGAAGTTAAATTAAATTTGTTGTAATAATTATTATTGTTGTTGTTAGTGTTATTGTGAATGTTGTTGTGGACGTTGTTGTTGTTCGTGAAGAATGGATTGCTGCTCAGCGGGATGTAGTTGTTGAGGTCATTGTAGTGGCTGTTATGGGGCAACAAAACAACAACAATAATAATAACCAGCAATAACAATAATAATAATAATAATAATAATAACATAAAATATATTATCAACAATTTTAACAATCGTAATAACAAGGACACCAAAAAAACTGAATATAAATATCGTATCAACTCATAGTCACAAGTGAATTTAAATATCACACACACCACACATACATACACCCACACACATACGTACATACAAAGTTCTTAAAAAGGTTTCCACTGAATCAAGATTATGTGCCTGCGTTAAAATGAAACTGAACAAGGCAACTTTTCGCAGCGCTATGAGGATCAATTTGTCGACAGATACGGTGGCAGCAAAGCAAAGTCCGCTGAATCTTTTGCTTAGCTGCCTTGAAGATAAAACATCGAAAAACTCCGAATAGAGAACCTAACCCGCCATAAGAAGAAATCAGTGTGAATGTTACCTCACAGCAGCTATTCGTGGTCTGAGATGCTTCCCTAAAATTTTTGGGCGGCCTAGACGGGTTCATTCCTCGGCACTGGAAAAACTGGACCAACTATAAAATCTGCGAAGGAAGGCATTACGCAGTTTTGTCAGAAATACGGGCCAAGACGGGAGCTTCTTAAAACTAAATTATAGTTTACATCTTATGCTGGACTGAATGTGATCATAACATCATTCTTTATTTAGCGACAGGACTGTTTTCCTTTACGAGGAAGTTCAACAGAGTGACCATTTGGGCTTCTTCTTTTTTCTCTATTAATCGATCCTTTGCTAAAATCAAAATATCTAAATTGGTAATAGATTACTTTGATGATGTGTCCCTGGGAGGTTCGCTGAAATCTTTGATTGTTGATCTGGAACATATTTTTAAGTGGCACCCGTCATGGTCTAAACTTAAACCTCCACAAATCTACATTCAACTTGGTACAAAGGTGGGAGTCACAATAAATTTTTGGAGGGCAAATTTGAAGAATTCGGGTTTGTCTCGTCAAGATTATCTATAATTTTTAAACACGACACTCTTTCACTACTAATTCAACCGACTCTTATACCTTGACTTATGTATTTTTTGACTATAGATACCGGGGCCGACGCAGACATTGAATCTGCTGCTGACATTCGGCCTGTGCACTGATTTGAGGAGGAGTTACCACCGGCTTCAGTCTTGGATGGATGCAGAAACGGACAAATAATGTTGAATGGAAAGCAAAGTTTGTTAGCCAAATGGTGTAAGCTTGCGATGCGAGTATGTCGCGTAAGCATTAGGAAAACAAGGACACATTGGTTCATTGGTGTAACGAAGATATAAATGCCATTCGAAAAGAATGCCTTAAAGCAGAAAGGGGAATGGAAATTTTCAACAAACTGGAAACCAACTAATCAAAAATGAGCGAATAGAATTAACAACATCCTCACCTATTTACATAACACTCACTTCGTCACCACCAACCTGTAGTTATCGTATGAGACGGTGATCCCAGCAATTTTGAGATTGCTACATCCGAGCACGAAGAACAATCCAAACCCAGCCAGTGCGATGCTGTTCAGAGCAAGAACCAGCTGTGTGGCACCTTCAATGAGCAAATGTATGTATGTAATAAATGAATAAATGAATGTGTGAATGAATGAATAAATGAATGAACGCGTAAATGAATAAATGAATGAGTTAATTAATTAATGGAAGAGTAAATGGAAGAGTGAATGAATGAGAAAATAAATGAATGAATGCTTTCTAGGATTAAATCAAGTTGAATAAAACTGTGAATGAATGAATGAATGAATGATTAATTGAATGAACGAAGGAAGGAATAAATGAATGAATAAATAAATGAATGAACAAACAACTTGGCTACCCTGCCTACCTCTAGATGTTAGTTGACAGTGTCTTAGACAGTGCCCTCCCATGAGGATGCCAATAACTGCCCCTGGGACTGCCACGCCACCTGTCACCATCATCGAGTGGGTGATGAAGGAAGATGGTGATAATAATTAAATGACAAATAAATGAATGAATAAATAAATAAATGAATGAATAAATAAATGGATGGATAGGCAAGCAAATGAAAAATAGATTAACGAGCTACTGAATAAATAAATTAATTAATTGATTAATTAATGAAAAACTAAGTCAAACAACAAGCCCACACAAATTATTGATAATGCAATGTTAAACGATGAACAAATGAAAAAATGGTTGAACAAATGTGTGATAAAATGAATAAATGAAAAATTGTATGAAAAAAATGAATAAATAAACAAATGAATGAATGAATGAATGAATGAACGAACGAATAAACGAACAAACGAACGAATGAAAAACGAGAACAAATGAATCAATCAATTAGCTAATCAATTGGCCCAATCAATCAATCATTCAGTTAACCAGTCATGTAACCAACCAATAAATCAACCAACCAGTCAATAAACTAGCACTAGTCTTGGACGACCCAAACTCCTTCTCCAGATACTTGGGCAGAAAGAATACGAAGCCACTGACGACGGACACTTCGCAACAGATCCCCAGACAGGTGACCATGTAGATTGGGTTGCAGATAATTTTGTACAGGGCAGATGGAATATCTGCGTAATGATTGGTTGGCGAGTTTGGCTCAGTCGGTAAAAGGGCCATGTCTGGCGTTATTATGCAATGACCTGTTTCGAATGCTGTCTGTCAGAAACTAAAAGACACGCGCGTATGATGCGGTGCTTGTGCGTGCATAAGAAATGTGCGTCGTCTGGTGTGGACGTCTGGATGCTACAGCTTTTGTGAAACGAAAGTTTGAAAGTAAGATGATAGACAGGTAAGCAGTTCTGCCTTCGACAGAGCTGCAAAATTAAGAACAAAAAAAAATAAAGAACTAATAAGAGAAAAAAAAACAAATTAACAATTAAGAATTCACAAAACGATAAAATTATTACTATATATTTATTACCTTTCAATTTTTTACCATAATTAACTTTTCCACTTTCAGCACCAACACCATTTCCGCCTGCCTTATTATTATTATTATTGTTGTTGTTGTTATTACTGCTATTAGCATTATCGTCATTGTTATTATTATTGTTGTTACTGTTATTATTATTTTTATTATTAACATCGCCTTCAAGCAGTTTTGTATTACTGTGTTGTTGTTGCTGTTGTTGTTGTTGTTGCTGGTGATGTTCCCTGGAAGCAGTAAACACGTCACACAAGGAGAAAAACTTCTGTCTGTCTTCTCTAGCTAGCTGGCGGATTTCTTTCACTAAGATCTGTTGGTTGGTTTGCTGGGTGGTGAGTGATTGAATGCCTGAACGGTTGATTGAGTGATTGACGGATGGATGGATTGATTGATTGGCAACCAACCAGCCAACAAACCTTCGGAAAGGTATAGAAAGGAACGGACACAAGTAAGAGAAGCGCCCCAATCAACATGAACCCTCCCCACCAAGCCCCCACCCACTTCGAATTACTCGGAGTTAGGTTTAGGGTCGTTGTGTCATATCTGGTGATGATGATTGATGGTGACGATGATGATGGTGATGATGGTGACGACTGTAATAATAACAATAGTAATGATAATGGTAACGATGATACAATTATTATGAAGATGAAAATTATGCTTCATTTGACCGAACGATAACAATTTCGGTGACATTTAATTACGGCAAACCATTGATGTTTCAAAATTTATAAAGCTCATCATCATCTTTTTTTCACCCACCACCCCCACGATCATCATCATCATCAGCAGCAGCAGCAGCAACAACACCAACGTAACCACCATCACCACCATCCCTCACACTCACCTCAAAAGATCAACGTAGTAGAGCAGCATCAGCGCCCCCAAACCATACCCAAGAATCGGACCGAACACACCACAGGCATATATGAAAGCTGTCGTGGTAGTGATGATGATGACGTTGAGGTAAGTATGATGATGATGATGATGAGTATGAGTATGATGATGATGATGAATATGAAGATGATGATGAAGATGATGATGAAGATGGTGATGAAGATGATGATGAAGATGGTGATGTGTATAATGATGAGAACGGAATTGATTATAATTATGATGAATATGAATAAAGTGATTGCGGCGATCAGGAAGTCTGATTGGACGGAAAATATCCCACTCCGACTCTTCAAAAATTCCGACCCAGGATTCCAATTCTAAGAAAAATTTTTCAACTTTTGCATCATAACTCTGCTTAAAAACCGCAACTAAATGAAAAACACTTAAAATGAGTCAATGTAATTGTTTTTCTTAGTAAAACAACTTTAAACATGTTTTAAAACATGCCCGAAAGTAAATAATGTATCTTATTGACATAACTAGCATTTATTTTTAATGTTAAAGAGGATTGCTTATCGCCACGCATACTTATCTTCTTGAAAACACGATCTTGAAGAATATTTGTATAATAGGAAATTAAATAATTCGAATTCTCAACACTTTCCCAAGTCGGGTGGAAAAGTACGGATGAAAGACGGATGAGAAACTCTCAAAAAATTCCGACCACGACACTCTGGTGGTGATGATGAAGATGGTGAGGATGGTGACGATAATGATGGTGATGATGGTGAAGATGGTGAAGATGATGATGGTGAAGAAGATGATGGTGAAGATGGTGATGGTGACGATGGTGAAGATGGTGAAGATGATGATGGTGAAGATGGTGAAGATGATGATGGTGAAGATGGTGAAGATGATGATGGTGGTGATGATGAAGATGATTTAATTTATGGTGGATATGATATGCCGGTAAGATTATGAAGATAATGACAATAAAAACAAGAATGGTTACAGCCTAGCTTCACAAACGATGCTTGTTAAGACGTGATGATGTTGGAATAAGGATAAAGCCACATACCATGGTAACAACAACTATTTAAATTCATTCAAATTCTAACACTCAAAAACCAGCACTTACGCATCTAAACACAAACATGTACAACAGCTAGCAACCCATTACAAACATGCACCTACACACATCCACACACGCACATTACAAAAATAGAACGACACATACAAACACGCCGCACACACGTGCACACATACACACACAAACAAACAAATACATCCATATATACATGCACATAATTTAATTAAATCTGGAAATAAAAACTTCACTATAATAAAATACCAAAATTCAACCTCTAAAAAATTAAATTAAGTTTAAATTTTACGTACTCTTAAACGAAAAAAATATGAAAAAAAAACATTAACCATAAAAAAAATTGAGACGTTAAGAGCCACACAAGCCACGTCAATAACTTAATAATAATAATAATAATAATAATAATAATAATAAATACTCAAAATCAATAGATAGATAAAAAGTCGATGACTAATACAAATTTAATTATGGACACAATTTAAAAAAAAAAAGTTATAATAACTAAATAATAAATTAATTAATAATAAATAAATTAATAATAAATTAAAAATTAAAGATAATACAAATAAATGAATAAATAAATTATTCAATTGGTCCTCACCAATATAAGTGGGCGCTTTCCTCGTGGAGACGTGGTTGTCGATGTAAGTGGTGCCCAGGGTGTAGAGGGGCGAGCCACCAATGCCGATCATCAGCTGGGCCACGATTAAGATTAAAACGTAGCGGTAGTTATCCGCACTCTTGTCGGAGCAGGGAGGTCCATCTGGAAAGTCGTCCGGTTTAGGGTAGTAGGCCCCAACGGAGATTGAGGGGGCGTAGCGGGTGTCAAATGGGTGGGAAGGGTTGTGATGTTGTAGTTGCAGGTGGTGGTTGTTGTAGTAGTTGTGGCTGCTATTCGTTAGGGAGTTGGTGTTGATTCTGTTGAGGTGGTAGTGGTGTGGTTGTTGTGTTATGCATATAGCAATTGTTAGCTATATATTTGTGAATATTTGTATATCTTATGTATTCATTTGTTGGTGGTGTGGTTGTTGTGCGTGGTGGTGGTGCGCAAGGTGGTGGTTGTGGTGGCCCAATCAATCAGTCCACAAAACTACCAACAAACAAACCAACCAGCCAGCCAACCGACCAACTACTGCCATCAAACCGGCCAACCGACTGACCTACAGATATCATCAGCGAAAGCATTACTATTATTGAGACCCTCCTTCACAGTGTAAGCTGAGGCGATAGCGTGTGGCGCGGTGAACACCAGCGCGCCGAAACCAGTGAGTAGCGCGCCGAGGCCGATCCAACCTGGGATGTGACGGGCGCTTCCAAAATAGCTGACAAAAACGGCGGCTGATGCGCCTCCGATTTCGACACTACCGGCTATGAGGCCGCTGTAGAAGCTGCCTATGTCGAAGCGTTTCTCGATCGTTGTGATGACACTGTTGATGTGATGTTGTGATGTTGTGATGATGTTGGAACGGTGTGATGTTGTTACTTAGCATGATGATGTTAAGATGTGATCATGACCTGATGCAATGAGGTTGTGATTGTAACTAATAATAATAATGATAATGATGATGATGAATGTATAAAGCGATTATTAAGAAGATGAAAAGTGTAAGTTTTTTTGATTTTTCAAAAGAAAAATAAGAGCGAAACTAGCAAAACAACATCCTCAACAACAACAACAACAATAAAAACACCAACAATAACAACAACAACAACAATAATAATAATAATAACAACAACAACAGTAATAACATCAATAATAATAACAAAAATACAAATTTTGTGGAAGGCAAAAAAATCTTTCAAGAGATGATGAAGATGATGATGGTGAAATAGAAGATGATGATGATGGTGATGATGGTGGTGGTGATGAATGGTAACCAGATAACAAAAACATCTTAGCATCTAATAAGTTTATTCTTGTTATTATTGTCGTAATTATTATTACTGTTGTTGATGTTATTACTATTTCAACTAATTTCACCAAAATATCAAGTAGCAGTAGTAGTAGTAGTAGCAGCAGCAGCAGCAGCAGCAGTAAGTTTGAGATGAAGACAAAATAGTGCCGATTAAATTTTATTATCACCCACAAGTGCAACACAATACAATAAGAACGTAAGCGATCATGTTTACGATTTAAATTAGTGAAGGGTTGAATGAGGAAATGAATTGGTGAGTGAATGAAATGATAGATAGATGGATGGATCATGGGATTAACGAAATAATGGATGGATGGATTGATGGATGGATGGATGGATAAGCACATTATATGAAAAGATGAATGTATTACTGAATGCATAACAAATGAATTAAATAAAATTATAAACGGATGGTTGGATAGATAAATAAATGAATGAATGAAAGAATGATGGATGGATGGATGAAGGAATGAACAAACAAATGAATGAAAAACCAAATCAATACAACAATCACAAACAAGTGATGAATGAACGAATGATGAACGAATGAAGGAATGAATGAACTGAAACTAAAATTATGTAAAAAATGCAGATTGATGGATAGAGAGAGAGAGAGAGAGTAAGTGAGAGAGAGAAAGAGAAAGAGAGGGGAAGAGAAAGTATGTAGTATTGGCATATTGGATGCATAATTGAACAAATAAACAAACACGCGATTGAGTAAATGAATGATGGATAGAACGAAAAAATGAATCACTGAGAGAATGAAGAGAAGCAGCACGGATCCCAGAAAAAAACACAAGTGAATGAATGAATAAATGAATGAATGAACGAACAAACAAACAAACAAATGGATGAAAGAATGAATGAACGAATTTGAGTATTAAAAAATTAATAAAAATGAATGATTGAATAAATGAATGAATGAATAAATAAATAAATGAATGAATTAATGAATTAATAAATAAATAAATTAATTAACTAATTAATTAATTAATAAATTAATTAATCAATTAATCAATGAATGAACGAACAAACAAACAAACAAACAAACAAACAAATGGATGAAAGAATGAATGAACGAATTTGAGTAATCAAAAAATAATAAAAATGAATGGATGAATGAATGAATGAATGGATGAATGAACGAATGAATGAGAAAATTAATTAATGAATGAATGAATGAATAAATGAATGGATAAATGAATGGATGAATGAATGAATGAATGAATGAATGAATGAATGAATGAATGAATGAATGAATGAATGAATGAATGAATGAATGAATGGTTTAAAAAATGAAAGACATGACAAACAACCTTACAAAAAATATCAAAATAAAAATTAACCACGTGATAAAAAAAATTAATAAACGATTGAATGAATGGAAGGATTGAATAAATAATTAAATGAAACAACGAATGAATGAAAGAAAGAATGAATGAATGAAACAATGAATGATCAAATAAATGAACGAAAGAACGAGCAATTTGAAAAATTAAGGAATTAGCGAACGAATGCACAAATTGATGAACAAATGGATCAACAAAAGATAATAAATGATTATCGAAACAAAAGATATAAAAACGAAATGGTGATCGATTGAAAAAATAAATAAAATGATCAAATAAACAAGAGTGAACGAATGAACGATGTTACAAACGAATGAACGAACGAACGATGGAACAAACGTATGAACAAACGAACGATGGAGCAAACGTATGAATGAACGAACGATGGAACAAACGTATGAACGAACGAACGATGGAACAAACGTATGAACGAACGAACGATGTTACAAACGAATGAACGATTGAATGAAAGAAAGAAAAATAATAATAATCAGTCATAAATAACAATTAAAAGAAGCAACTGTATGCGCCATCATAACAAACTGCTTCGGTCCCGGCAGTGCAAGCGTGTTGATGTGTGTGCTTATTTGTGCTGGTGTGTGTGTGTGTGTGTCTGTGTGAGTCAGTGTGTCTGTGTGAGTGTGTGTGTATGTGTGAGTTCGCTCGCATGACTGAGCTTGTGTGTGTTTGTGTGTCATCACCATCGTTATCATCAAGGAAGTTTACTCCCATACATATACAACCAGCTGATTTAGAGCACCATTCTATCATCGCCAGAAGGTAACAACATCTTCTTCGTCGTCACAGTTACGTAATAATAATAACAATTATATTTATAATTATATTTATAATTATTTTATTATTATTTCTATTATTATGAACAAAAACAGGAGAGCTAGCCGTTCGCTCACCCTTTCTTGTTTATAATAACACAACGTAGATTGTTTCATTTAAATTAGTTTTAAAATTAATCCCGCTGTTCCGCAAAATTACGGTGATTATGGCGTCATTTTTAATCTTTTTCTTAAAAACATCAAATATTTTATTTTAAATATTTTAATTAACTCGATTTGTACTGCACACTCGAGTGACTGTTTAGATAGCGGTAAAAACATTTGCAAACGTTGACAGACACTCCCGTGGGTGCACACTGCTCATTCAGATGTTACAGTTCTACCTTCAAATTAAAAATCCAACCTTCACATGGTAAACATCGGTGGATAACTGTTCAAAAAGTTTAGAATATAATTTAGTACTATGTTCATGTTGTCGCAGAAAGGGCAGAAAAGTATTAATTATGCACCAACGTTCATGTAGAATGCAGAAACAAATCCAACTAGGTGGAAACGTTGACGAACCAACAGAATCTCCGGAACAATAAATATTTCCACGTCAAATCTCAAAATCATAACCCTACCTCCACAGTCAACACTAGGAACAATTGAATCTATACTTGCGAGCATTAAACCACTCAAAATTCGGACCGATGAAGCCAGCGAATACTTTCAACTACAACGACAATCACTTCTGAACCGAACTAAGAAAATATTGGCGATTTCAGGATCCTTTTTCAATACACGATGCGCGAACATACTGTTCTGAATTATGGCATACCATAAGGTAAACCTCAATAGGCCTGTAATTCCAGCTCTAATAAACCAATCAAATATTCTAATAACCTTAATAACCTTCGTAAAAACTTGCTTGGCCATTTGAAACACTTGAAAATAATATTCAACACTTTTTAAATTTCGCCGCTAGGTTTTTTAATTGTTTAATTTATCGCTAGCCGATAACGTTTGGTCTGATCAACTTTATAATAATTTTATTATTCTGCAACATCGCCATTGTCGGTATTTATTGAAAGGAATACCGATAGAATGGATCTTCTATTATCCATCTATTAAAAGGCCTAATCAAAATCTGTTTGCAGATGCTATGACAACTGGAGTTAAACTAATCTCAGATATTTTCGAACCCTCACATCGCCCGGACAATTGCATAACGGAAAATAGAAACGTGTACGTACTAGAACTCACAACCCGCCACGAGACTAATCTTTTAAAAACCAAACAACACAAAATTAACGAATACAAAGGTTTAAAAGTCAAACTACTTCAAAAATATGAAGACTTTAATTTCAAAATCTTTTCCTGGGAAATATCCCCGTTGGCTTCGTCTGCGATGTTAGAGAACTGACAAAATGCCTTAAGCTGCCACCTGTTCCAGATGATACACTCAATAAATTTATGAGGAACGCAAATAATTCAATCGTTTGACATTTATTTTAATAGGAACAATTTGTGACTAAATAAACCTTTTTACGAATCTTCATAATGACGTAAATTAAATCAATAACATTTTCCGGGTTGATTTTCTTTTCATTTTCGGTTGTTAATGTCGATTTTTTTCAAATAAAAAAGTTCCCATAACTACTGACCTGCTGACGTAGCCAGCCGTCAACGCGCCATTGATCATGGCCAGGAGGCAGCACATGAACGTAAAGCTTGCCACCGAAGGCTCTATGAACCACCATTTCCCGCCAAAAATTCTGCTCCAACCTGATGATGATGATGATAGCGGTGGTGGTGATGATAATTATGATGATAATGATAATGATGATGATAATAATAATAATCACAAAGAGAAGACGATAGAGATTGTGAAGATGGTGGTGAAAAAAGAAGACAATGGAGATAATTAAACTATACGATAGAAATGATGATGATAAAGTAGATGAAGATGATAGGATTGAATGAACTAAAGGTTAATGTGAAGAAGATAATGAAGATGCTGACAAACGATGATAACACGATCATTAAGAAGAATAACATCAAAATGTTTATAAAATTCCTTATGTACGATGACTGACATGATGATTAAGATTGTGATGATGATGAAGATAATGATGGTGATGATGATGAAGATAATGATGGTGATGATGATGAAGATAATGATGGTGATGATGATGAAGATAATGATGGTGATGATGATGAAGATAATGATGGTGATGATGATGAAGATAATGATGGTGATGATGATGAAGATAATGATGGTGATGATGATGACACGATGACAAAATGACGGTGGTGATGATGATGGTGATGACGATAATGATATAAAACCTCTTTCTTCAATGAACCCAGCTCTCTCCATCAACAAGTTTATCTGTGGGTAACAATCGAAAATAATTATTATAAGGATATTTGTAAATAATTATCATAATCTGAAAAACAATTATAGTTACAAAAACATAAATTCTAAGAATAATAATAATAATAATAATTGTAATGGAAATTGTTCCATTACATGGTCACGTGGGCTAGTTACTAGCACAAAGCACGAGCGCTTACCTAAGGGAGAGCGCCGTATGGTCGCGTGGGTTGGTTTCTAAACCAAAGTACAAGCGCGAACCCGTTACAAATAATAATCACGATGATCATGATGATGACAACAACAACCAATAGCGACAAACATCTACAATTAACAATAACCACCACATCAACATCAACAACAACCATCAACAACAACAGCACCATGACCAAAATCAATTCAAAAACTACAAATGCAACAGAAACAACAACATCAACCTCCACAATATCAACAACAACCAAACCAACAAAACCTTTACATTAGCAACTAAACCGATGAATGAATAAAAACAACTTTAACAACAACTTCATCAATGCCAATCTCAGCATCACCAGCAAATCAACAACTACAACATCAACAAAACCAGCAACAACGACAACAGCAATAATAATAAATTAACAATAACATCAGCAACAGCATCAACAACTAAACAACAACATCGGCAATCGGCAACGTCATCAGTAATAACAGAAACAATAACCTCCTCATCAGTAGGAGAGAGCTGTTGAGAATTTTGAGCTTTCAGCAACTTCCTCTGCTGCAGGTCTTGTTGAAATTGTTGAAACTTGCGCTGTACGTCCAGCAGCTCCTGCATGTTCTGCAGCTTCCGCCGATCTTCTTGTTGTCGTTCGTGACTCAACAGATGTTCTCGTTCACGTGTTTGCTGCTTGGATTTTGGCTGCTGCTGTGGTAGTTGAGATTGTTGTTGTTGTTGCTGCTGTGGTACGTTATCATCGTTGTCGTTGTTGAGGCTGTTGTTGTTGTCGTCGTCGTCTTCCTCGTCGTCGTCTTCGTCGCTGTTGTCGTCGCCAACGTTCTTCGGCAGTTTGTGGAGACTTGTGAGAGAGTTGAAGCATATGTCGTTGTAGTGTTGCTGTATGTTGATGCTCATTTTTGATGATGGTGCTATCGATATTATTACGTCGTCGTTGTTGCTCACGTTGTTATTGTTACTACTGCCACCACTGTCGGTAGTGAAAGTATTTAAATTTAGGACGATGATGTCACTTCGGTTATTGATGTTATCGATTGTAAATAAATAATCGTAACAACTCACAAATTTTTTGAAATATTATATATACATATATATAATATACATACACACATATATATATATATATATTATAGTTTTGTTTCCGGTATGTCGGACGCACGCAAAATTGTAATTAGCGAATTATTATGGTATTTAACTAAAAATGTTGAAAAGTTGAAAAACGACAAGTTTAGAAATATTGTGGCTGATTTTTATACCTCCTCTGAACTTCAGAATGGCTTCAAAATTCTACAGGGAGAATTATAAAGTTTGAAAAAGGAAAAAATTGAATTTGCAACACGAAGAAATACTAAACTGGATAAGTTAAGTGTTTTTTTGAATTATTTTCAATTATAAATATTGACAATTTGGGACGTTTGTTACCAGTATTCACCATTCTGAACATTGAGCGAATTCCCAATGAAACATTTTCAAACATTTCCCCGAATTTAAATAATAAAATTGACAGAATTGAAAATTTAGTTAATGAAAATATTGTTTTAAATAAACAATGTTTGTATACGCTGAATACATTCAACACCAAGGAAAATATTGTTAAAATTAATGCTGCACAATCATCTACGAATTACGCTGCACAAACTAACACGAAAACTATAAACAATGCTTGGTCTGGCGGGAAACTTTTAGATTTCAACAAAGCTCCTTGTTCTACAAATATACAAACTGACGAAAGTGATAATGAAAATAAACCGTTTCAACTTAAAATTTCACGTCGCAAATTGATTAATCTTAACACCGCTTCAACACCTAAAAGAGAATTGATCAGGAAAAATACAGGAAAATCAAAATACAGGAAAATCAAAAGCTGAACTTGGCTTCAAAGCTGTTGCACCACCAGTTAAAAAATCTTTCATATATTTGGGAAACCTCAACATCACCAAAACAGACACTATAACAGAACACTTAAATAAAGCTGGAATAAAATTTATATCCATCTTTCCAATAGCAAAACGAGGTTCAAATGTTGAAGGCGATGATAACAAATCTAGTACAGCATTTCGCATCTGCGTAGCAAACAATGAAGTATCAAAAATGTTCGAAGAAGACTTATGGCCCGAACATGCGATTATACGCGACTGGATATTCAACGTCAAACCAAGTAACACTATCGAAAACAACAACAACAAAGATGGCTAGAAATAATACAAGTTCCGTTGACTTTATTTTGAATTCGAGTAATTTATTTCACAGCAGTGAGTATTTTTCTGTTCCTGATTTTTCCTTTTTATTTAATGAAGACAATAGAACTATCAAAAACTGTTTTTCTATTTTGCACGTAAACACAAGAAGCATATTCAACAAAATAAGCGATTTCCAGTTACTTTTGTCTAATTTGAATTATTTATTTTCTGTTCTTGCTATCACAAAACTTGTCTAACTGCTGATTTGTCTAAATTAATTGATTTAGATAATTATGATTTCATAGATCTCCAACGTAAAAATAAATTGGGTGGGGGAGTTGGATTTTTTGTTAAAAAACAGAAATGCAATTATTGATGAAAATCAGCGCATGTTCCGCGTTAGTTAACTTCTGTTTAATTTTTTGATTTTTCTAGCAATACATCGTAAATAAATCATTGTCAAGTTTCTTGAGTTCAAAATGGCTCTTTCTTAATTTTAAGTTCGTGTTCCTGTCGATGTTGATTAAAGATTAGATATTAGATTAAGACCGTCAGAAATGCAGTTATCGATGAAGGCACAGAAGAAAATGACATCAATCAAAGTGTTATCAAAGAGCAAGTAAATGATACTAATAAAATTAGAACAATAGAACATAACGCCGAGGTAATTAACACAATAAAACATAACACCAAAGTAATTAGCCCAAACCAATAAATCATATCAATTAGTAATGTCAGTAAAATTAGCAAGGTCACTGACAACAATAAACGCTAATCACAGGAATTGGTTATACAAATTTTCTACACAAATCGCAACAAGTGCTGAAAATGATTGACAATCGAAATAGGTCCTATACACTCGAGAATGAATTGGAAAACTGTATATAATTCTAATTTTAATAAAATAAATAATGACAACAAGAATTTGGTTAGAAACATCGAGAAACGTAACAAAAACAAGACTTTATTGACGTTTAACGTCTTGATTTTATATTTTGACTTCGAACTATTGAAGATTATATCGCTAAATCTTCTATTTATTTCATTTTTAATATTATTTGAATTAATAAGCATTTTGATATTTTAATTGTATTCTCAAAGGCTCTGAAGATGGATATACCAAAACAGCGTTGTCAGTCTTAACTTAACTATGTCTTCAAGTCAGTTTTTAAATAAATATGAATTCAGCCAATTTAGACGTGTTGAAGTTTTGTTAAAAAAAAAATAATTAATGCAAAATGGGCGACTATTTCTAACGATAGTTGCATCCAAAAAAAACCTCGTCACCAAATATAAATATATTAACATTTATAAAGCGCCAATTAAAATTAATGGTGCTAATTTTTCAAAGACGCAGTCCAATAATTAACTAAAAAAAAAAAAAAAAATAAAATGGATAAAATAAACTGCAAAATAACGTTCCAAAGACCGCAAAATTTCCTGCCCCCATCTGCAAACAAAAATTATGCACAGCAATCAAATTGTCTCTATCAGATCTCAAAATGGTGCCAGTACGTATCGTCCATTTTTTCTGAAACTTGAATGCCAAATATTCTGGCCCATTCAAAACCACGTAAATTACCATGCTGATCTTGCAAATCATTCTTTTGTCGACGGCAAGCCAATGTAAGTCTTTCAAAATTGGTGTAACGTGGTCAAATTTAGCACCGTGTGCAACAATTTTAGCAGCTCTGTTCTACACTGATTGAAGCATCGCAATAGATCTGTCCGGTAAACTATAAAACAAGATATGCGTGCATTAAAGACTGCATTGTAGATCTGTTTAATAATTTTTTGACTCGATACAATCTTTTAAGTTGAAATGAACAAACTTATACAGTCGATTTTATATGCTCATTCCTCGTTAATTTGGTGTCAAAAATACATCCCAAGTTTGTTGCCTTTTGACAGACTTTCCCTTTCCTTTTGTACCACAGCTGAATTGACATTTACTTTTGATAACTATTGCCAGGCACCAATAGAAAAAAACTGAGATTTGCACTGGTTCAACTTGAGATAATAACATGACATCTATGCACAAACTTAATTTAAACCTTCAGTCAGCTTTTTAATTTCGTGATGAAATGTCTCAGGTTTACTACTAAATATTATCTAAATGTCATCTTCAAAAGCATGATACTCAAAACCAAATGACTCGATGAAAAGATGAAAATATCGACAGCATATAATAAAAACAAAATAGGTCCAAGTACAGGACCCTGTGGTATATTAGAGGAAACCAACTTTGTACTTGATAGATCGCTTCTATAAAATTTGAACCATGCAATTACTGAACCTGAAAGTCCAAATTCCAACATAATGTTGTGAACAACGCAGTCAAATCCCGCAGACATATCCAAAATGTCAACAAGGAAACGTTTTGATAATCAATAACAGCATACAATTTTGACAAAACATATAATAGTAGAATGAATGGTTCAGACTGATAGAGAGGAGTCAAACTATGCTTGATCAAATGATTTAATACACTTCTGGTAACAACGCGTTCAATGATTTTAGAAATGGAGCACAGGTTTGAAATTGGCCGGTAGTTTTTTAATTTATTCCCATCTGCGTCCGTTTTTTTTCAAGACTGGAAGGACAAATGCACGCTTACAACGAGCAGGAAATACACCAGTAGTCAAACCCATATTAACAAAGCCTATTAGATAACTAAATGTAGATACTTTTTGAAAACGTATATGGGAATGACGTCTAATGAGCACGTCTTTGATGGCAAATCAAAAATAATTTTTTTAAGTTCCATTTCTGTCACAAGTGGAAAAAATGACAACAAAACATTTTTATTCAATTTGTATTTCTCAACCACTGGTCGATAAACTACGCCCGTGGCTTGTTTAACGTTTATCGATTTTATCTTGAAAAAAACTTAGAAACTGATTAGAAATACAATCGGCTGTTTTATGATCTGAACTTAAATATTTATTGCATAATACTCTGTTCACAACGTTCCATAAGTTTTTAGGACTTTTTTTATTATCAGTAACCAATTTTTTCCAATAACAGTTTCGTTTTTTTTAACAATTTGGTTTTATACTTCAAAGTATTAACCCATTCGTTACAATGTTCAGGCAACAAACTCTTTCTAAATTTCCTTTCTTTTTTTCAACAATCTGTTAGTGCAATATAACACTCCCAGTCAAACCAAGGGGAAGATCGCATCTAAATTTAGCATAATGAATTTTACGAGAATTATATTAACACGTTGGAGAGAAAAATACAATACTAAAATTACTAAAAAGTTACAAAATTTGTTTGAAAATGATATTATCACAAAGAAGTAAACGAAAATATAGGCCAATATTAAATATTAGGCAAAATAAAAGATAAATTATTGATACATAAACTTATTTAACTTAAATGCCGTCATTTTAATATTCTAACGGTCCAACATAGATCAATTAAATCACTCAAACCAGAAACACACCGCACACGATACCACTACCAGCAACGATTCAATCTTCATCATTTTAACACATTTACAGGATTAGGTGCTTTAAAAAGCCCATTCACTCATTTAAAGAAAATGAAAAAATATACATGCACACGAAAATTTACATTAGACAAATAAACGAACTAAGAACGAATGAATGTACAAATAAATGAATAAATGAATGACCGAACAAACGAATAAAAAGCATCACACCCAGAAATATATATATATATACTTAATCACACACACGCATGCATAAATACAGGCATATACAACACCACGTACAAACATGCACTTACATACTTTCATGCATTCACAAACATTTACAAAAATAGAGGAACACATACGACACACACACACACACACACATATATATCATCTGTTTAGACATTTATATTCGTTTATTTACTTTATTGATATATTTATTTGTAAGTGAAAAAACGTAATTAAGTAAAAAATATAACAAAAATGCACTTAAGTTTCTCTCTCCAGTGCGTGTGTGCGTGTGAAAGAGAAAAAAATAAATAAAAATTATTTGATAGAAAATTGTTCAACTCATAATGTTGCTCAATTATTAATATGATAACAACAACAATAATATTAATTAGCAATTCATTATTGATGTTGTTATTAACATTACTTTTAGTTAATTATTGTTATTAATATTAGTAATAATAATATTATATTATAATAATATTATCATTATTATTATAATATTATAATAATATTATTATTATTATTGTTATTATTATTAATGTTAATATCATTATCAGTAGCAATAGTATTAGTAGGAGTAGAAGCGGTATTACTATTAGTAGTAGCAAATATAATAACAACAATAATAACAATAATTGGGTGGAGCAGCTGCTGCTGCAATAGTAGTAGCAGTGGTAGTAGTAGAGAGAGTAGTAGTAGTAGTAGTAGTAGTAGTAGTAGCAATCATGATAGTAATGTGTTTGTCATTGATCTTAAGATCTTACAATTAGTGATTGTAATGCAAATATCCTATTGTATTCATCGTATAATTCGATTTATAATTCTTTATAAAAATGTTTGTTGTTATTATTATTATTGTTGTTGTTATTATTATTATTATTAAGCGGCAGCAGTAGTAGTGGTGGTAATGGTAGTAGTAGTAGAAAAAACGTTGTTATTATTATTCCATTATGACGAAGATGATTATTCCTATTATCAATATTTATCTTTTATGATAAATATTTTTTATATTTTAAAGCTATTTATAATTACTCGGAGGTAAGCATAATAGTGATTAGATTCATTACAGGATATATATATATATATATATATTTATATAGATAAAGTTTGGGTGGATGAGCTTTTATTTAATTTTGTTTACCTTATTCATTCATTTATTTATGCATTCATTCATTCATTCATTCATTCACTCATCATATGTTCGTTCGTTCGTTCATTCATTCATATGCTCGTTCAGCCGTTTAATCATTTGTTCGTTCGTTTATATAATCATTCAATCACATTCGTTCGTTTGTTCGTTCGTTGCTTCGGTTATCAAATTCATTCTCATTTACAGTAAATTTTTC